CGTCCCCTCGCGGAGCCCCGAGCCGGCCGCTCCTCTGCCTCCCCGAGCGTGCCCGGGGGTGGGAGCCTTGGCAAGAGCCCCGCGCGTCTCCCTGCGCCAGCGCTGGTCCCCCCCGAGCCCGCGTTTGAAGAGTGCCGGGGCTTGGAAAGCTTGTTGCTTGGCTTTGGAGGGGGACCAAAAAGCTCGCGAGGATGAATAGTCCCAACCACAACAGCAACAGTAAATCCAAACAAAGGCAGGGTGGAATCTTTTTAATTATACCCTCGCGCCTCGGCCCGTTCCCTCCCCACACTCCTCTTGGTGTGTTTGCGTGTGGGGAAAGTCTCCGGTGGCAGCAGTGGAAGGATGGGTTGTGGAGGTGGTTTTCCACTTGCTGGGAAGATGGGAGAGATTCAAAACTCTTCTCATTTCTTGTGCCTCTGAGAAAGATTGTTTTTCTGAGCTTCGTAGCCCCTATGAATCACCATCTGCATCACTTTATATGGGGAGTGCTATTCTCAGCACCTTCCCGGGGCTGTGCACACTGCTCACACTCCTGTCTGTTTGTACACGCAACATGCAAAGCCTTTTTGCCCGTAAAAACTGCTCCGAAGCAGGTCAAGGGAGAGACAGGGCAGAGCGAAACGTCGGATCGTATTGGCAGGCGGAGATGTGTGTTTGAGTGGAGGCGGGAGGAGCCTCCAGAGGCTGGAACTGCTCGGGAGGTGACTTGAGGCACTGGTGCCCGTGGGGCAGAGCCCGGAGCGCGCCAGAACAGCAGCGGTTGCCCCCTGCCACGGCCTCGTGCCTCCTGCTCGGTGCTGCCGGGAGCTTTTTCCAGCGGTTGGCACTTTGGGAGGCTCCCTGCACGCTTGAAGGCCTCCTAGGAGATGCTCAGGAGAGCTGTCCTAGCTGAGGAGGGCTGGCGGCAGCGGGTGCTGTCGCGCTGCCGCCCGCAGGAGCCGCCCCCGTGGGAACCGGAGCGCTGTGCGGGGAGAAGCTCTTAGTGCAGCACTCCGCACGGCGCCGGCTTCATCAGGGAGGGTGATTTCCTTGTCTGGAGCCGTCAACCCACCGGCTCCGCTCGCCTCGCCGCCGGCCTCCCCTCGCTGCCGCTCGCAGGGCTCTGCCGCAGAGGCGCGCGGCGCTGCAGGCCCAAGCGCGCGCTCGGCTCGCGGGTTGGTTCAGCGCGCGCGGCCCAAGTTCCCTCCTGCTGGACGGTGCAAATCCTGCAGAGGGTCTCCCCTTCCCTGCAGCTGCTTGGCTGCAAGCCTGAGCACCGCTCTGCTGCTCTTGTGCATGGGGAGCAACTACTGGGAAGGATGCGCTAGTTCTGGACCATTTCTTGGGCTTCTGAGGAGGCTGCACTGATGGCGAAAGGATGACTGGGATATTGGGACCACCTCAGACATCACCCCACAGCAGTGACAGCCGTGTCCTCCCTGACCAGGACCAGCTACCAGCGCTAGGCTCTGCATCTCTTGGCCATGGACCTTCCTGAGGAAACTGCAGACACTTCAGCTGACTGCAAGATCTGAACGTTTCAACGTTCGGTGCCATTTCAGTGCAGGTTTTCAGTTCAGGGGGACCTGTATTTTCCATAGAATTTGATAGAGAGAGCTGCCACACATTGTTTTGCGTTGTTTTGTCTTCTTTTCTTTTTCTACCTACACTGGCTGCAGTTTTTCCTGGAGAATGCTATGTTCTTAACAGCAATGGCATCCAGCAGTCAGTAGTGTCCTCTTGGGCTCTCCTGAGCACCTACTGCTCTGAAAACCCATGTGTGCCCCCTTCTCTGCCAGTGCCTCCTTGCAGAGCTTGGTGGTGCATTGGAGGATGTTCATCTCTGATAGCATCTCCACAAGGTCTCCGAAATCCTTTCCCCCACTGCTGTTCCGAAGGGAGCACCCAAACGTGTCCCCTCTGTCTGAAGGGAAGCTCAGCCTCGCTGCAGGGAGGAAACACCAAGTCCTTCCCTGTCGGTGACTTTGGGGCTGATGGTGAGGACAGCTGGCAGCAGCCCAGCCCGCCGGGGGAGCCGAGCTCGTGACCTCGAGATGAAAGACACGGCGGGTTATCAGGACGCCAAGTCTTGCAGCCTTCCTGCAAGTTTCATAAATCTCACTTCTTATTGTATTTCTTCATTAAATGCAGATTAGATCGCATGGTCTTTCTTTCACTACAAAGTAATTTGGATTTCCATTTCGTGGGCCCATCTGATAAACAGCTGCTTGAAATAACATAATTTTACCCGGCCTTGATAGCACTGGATTCATCTCGAACTCTTGGGCTCTGTCTACTGGGCTCCCTACTTAGCGGTGGCTCTTCCCTTGCAGATCTCAGGATAAAGAGGCGCAGTGTGCAGCTGGGGTTTTGAAGAGCTGGGGAGCTCATTTGGAACATGAAAAATGACTTCATATCAACGCTGTGCAGGGGGAGCTCCAAGAGGACAAGCGAGGACCTCAGGAAGCCCCCTAAACAGTTCATCGCTTTTATGTATCGCCTATGTAGATGTCTCACTTGGAGCCTTTCTTTCTTTCCCCAGTAAGTGCCAGGCAGAAGAGGGACCTGGGCTCTCATTGCCTTGCTGGGCAGTGAGCAGGGCTCGAGCAGTAGGGATGTCCCTGAAGGGATGTCACTCCTGCTGCTGGCAGCGGTTAGTTCATGGTAGGGCATCCAATGGCCTCGGAATAAATGCCTGCTGTTTGCTGGAGTGGACAGAGCAATGTGGAAAAGGCTGATTTGGATAAGGGACCAGCAGGGTCTCCCAGAGCCGGGGCATCTGCCAGCGGCAGCGACCTGGGAAGTCAGTCCCAGCCCTGCAGACAGCGGGAGGCTTGGGCAGCCTCAAGCAGCATCTTGCCTGGCTTTATTCAGAACACCTCTCAACGGGCTTTCTTCCTATGCTAGGCAGAGCGCTTTGGGGACTGTCTTCAAGATGATGTTGTATGTTACTGGGGAGAAAAAAAAAAACATTGAACAAAAAACCAAGCCTCGAAGCGGCTGCTCAGAGCGAAGCCCTTCTTCCCTGCAGCCGCCCTGGGGCAAGGGAGTGAGCGCTGGAGCTTCACCAATTACCACAGTGGCGTTTCTGGCCTTCTGGCCATGGAGCCCTGCTTTCACCGTAACCTGGACCCTCTTCTCTTCTGGGGTTTCTTGAGATGGGACACAACAGCTAGGTCAATAAAGGCTTCAGATACCTCAACAGGCTGTTGATGCAGAGCTCCAAAGCCGCACAGCAGAAAGACCAAGTTCAGAGGTCCTTCACCTTGGGGCAATAGAAGACACATCCCAAACGATAATCTGTCTGTGTCGGTTTTAGTTTTCCCTTTTCCTGGGTGAGAGCAAAGCTGGGGGCAGGAGGTGTGTGTGTGTGTCTCAAACTCACATTGAGTCCCTGGCTGATGGCAGGGAGCGATTTACCTCCCTGGCCGCGGTGCCGGGGCCACCCCAGCAAATGGGGCAGTAGGCAAACTGAGCAGCTGTTACCCTGCGTGTCTAGGTGAGTAGCTGCTGCCAGGTTTAGATGCTGCAGGCTTTCCTAGGTGCTGAACTGCCTTGACACCTTGCTGGAGAGCTGGGACACGACCACAGGTGAACGCACAGAGCCTTCGAAATGGCTCCTTTGCTACCAAGAGGAGCCGTCTGGCTTTCCGTGAGAGGGTTTAGCTCATCTCCAGAAGATTCCTGACTTTAAAGGAGATGCAGATTAATTCCCACACAGTGCCTTGCCTGAGCTTGGTCTCACAGGGGAGCTCAGCTGCTCTGGGCTCTGTCACAGCGCTCCCATGGGTCCCACCTCCCCCAGTGTCTTTGGAGCAATCCCTAGGGAAGGTGCCGTGGTTGCCAGTGGCTGAGCGGTCCAGCAGCTCCCTGACTTCCAGAGAGGCTGCTCGGCTCTTTTCCCTGAGAAAGCAAGAAGCAGCGCAGCCCCAGTCTCTGTGGGCTTCTGAGCAGCGATGCCAGACACCTACTGCCACTGCAGGACTGATTCGCATCCAGTCTCAGAGGAGGAAACAAGCGCCCTGCTAATTTGGAAGCTGATTTGGAAGCGATGACATCTCAGATTTATGTCCTTTTCTCTATCCTCTCTCATAAGCTTTGCTTTGATTGTAAACCCAGCTGGTGGCTTTCCAGGTTTGGGAGGCAGCATGGAATCAAACTCAGAGACAAGCAGGATGCCAGTCCCCGGAGCTGCCTGTGCAGCTACGCTGCCTGCAGTTCTCACCTTGCCTGCAGAGCAGCGCGGGGTGATTTCTTTGAAATGAGGACATTTTTGTGAGGCTACTGGAAAGTTTGCGGGTCCAAACAGTCTTGGCGCTGCACATGGGTCCCTCCAGAGGCACCAGTGTGGTTTCCATTTGAGAGTGGAAATGCCCTCTTCGACAGCAGAGATCAGTCGGTGATAAATAGTTGAAGATGACACTGAAGCATCCAACCCACAGGGAGCTCCTAGCTTAGCAGTTTTCTTCTCAGGGAGTTTTTTTTTCCATGGAAGCCATTGTACCTCTCAAGCCCAGTCCACTTTTTGTATTGCAGGTCGTGGGCTCTCTCATGGTTGTCTCCCCTCAGCTCTTTGGCACGAGGCCTCTCTGTGAAGAATGGTGGCTTCCTCTTTCCGCTATGGGGTGACCATCACCGGGGCCGTGCTGCTGGTGACGGGGACATTGTGCTTCGCCTGGTGGAGTGATGGGGAGATGGGCGCCGTGGCCAGCAGCGGGACTCAGCTGGTGCCTCCCCGGGAAGCCCACATGATGCCCAGCTCCTCCTCGTCCAACGCGCTGCTCCGCTCCGTCAGCTTCTTCTGCTGCGGCATCGGCGGCATCCTGCTCCTCTTCGGGCTGCTGTGGTCCGTGAAGGCCAATGCCAGGGTGGTGTCCCGACGCTACCAGTACCACTTCCCCAGGGACCTCCAGTACTTCACTGCGGAGCCCCTTGAGAAATGGAACTGCAGGTTAGTCCCTGACCGCACAGGCATTGGACCGGGGAAAGGAGCCAGAAATAAATCTAGGCTGGAAAAGAGCCAGCAGCCTCTGAGTTGAGAAGCCCTGAGATCCTGGAGAAGTCACTAATGAAAGTCAACCGTTTTTAAGAGCTTGATCAGCTTGTGAGAGAGGTTATAGGGTCACCTCTACTGATGGTACTGGTGATCATACTCTAGCAGCTCCTCCCGGGCCTGTTCCCTCAGTGAGCAACACAGTATCTTTTATATTAAGGTGTCATTGCTTTCCAGGGTGTCTGTGACCACTGATATTTAGTTGAGTATATAGTTAAATTTGCCCCTTGAGGTGGGTTCCCAGCCACTTTGTGCACCAAGGACCCCTCACGTACCTCTTAGCTTTGGTGTTGCTGGTTCGTCCAGCCCAGCTGTCCCACACGGTGCTGTACCTGATGGAGGCACCACCATCCCCTGCAGACAATCCCAATCTTTGGCATGGTGAAGGGCAGAGTAAGAGTGTAGTGACTCTGCCGTGCTGGAGGTAGCTCATGTTGTTGCATTAGGGAAAGCCCAGCAGTGTTGTCTCATTACATGTTATCTTTAATGGGAGCAAAATGTACTTTTTTTTTTTTAAATGAAGAGAAAATAGTCATAAGATTGGCATTAAGTAGAATGGAAAGGGAGTTGGAAGGAGCCTTTCAAATTCCTGCTTGCACGCTTGGGAAGACCCCTTACATGACCCTGAGTGGTACTATTGCTCATTTAATCAGAGTCTCCCTGTGTGAGTTGCAGAGATTTATTCCCACTTCTTAATTAAAAATTATTTTGTTTCAGCAGTTGCTCTGAACAGAGAGCCACTGGTGCAGCACTATGGGGTCACAGCAGAGATCTTGGCTCTAGAATAAATCAGACTCTGGGGAAAAGTCAGACTTAGAGGAAGTTGGAAAACATAAAAAACCTGCCGGGGTGGATGGCATAGTTGGGTTCCCTTGGGGTTTTGGAGCTCCTCTGAGGACATGGGAGTGGGATCCTGAGTGGGAGCACCGAGTGGTTTGCTGCAGTTCCCCAGGTCCTGCAGGGAGGGGAAGGTCCGGGGTGGCCCGGCGAGGTGTTGCAGGATGCTCGGGACCGGCAATGGGTCCGAGCTTGGTCTCAGCTCGCTCGCGTTTGCCTTGCAGCGGCTGGGATGCCAGCGCCATCCCCAGCTACGAGGAGGCCCTGAGCTGCCGGCCGGCCCCTGGCGCCCCGGTCTACGTGCGGCCGCCGTCGCGCAAGGAGGGGGC